CATAAAGAGGTGAAGTAACTTGTCCAGGAACATACCTAGGAAGTGGCAGAGGGAGGGTGGTTTATGATTTATACCCACAAATGATTCTTAATTACTTCTTTATTCTTCAGCCTTTGAAAAATAATTTCAAACATATGCACATAGCCAGACTTTCTTTTAAGTACTTCCTATTAAAACTCAGAAGGACTGGTTGGCCAACCTACAACATCTTGTAAACTCTTTTAATTTCCCCCACATTCGGTTCAGTACATAATTGGAAGACAGATCAAGGCTTGATTTACTGATATTTGAATAAATCTGTGTCAACTGAAGGAGCTGTAGAGTGCTCTAAACCAAAAAAACAAATAATTCCCAGATGGTAATTGTGAAAGTTGGTTCTCATTCTCCCCATCACAATTCTGTGCATCTATACCACCAGGAAAAGAAAATGTTTGCAAATGTATGCAAACTGCTATTTCAGTACAGGTGGGGTAGGGGCAGGGTGGAGAAGAAATCAGCTGTTAAAATAAATTATCTGATCAACTGACAGCCCCAGGCAAGCAAAAGCCCAGAAGACATTATGAAAGGATATTCTTAAGTATTTGATGTTTCTAGGAATTTTAGAAATAAAGACTCAGGATAGTATTTTAACCCTGGATCTTCTAAAGAAAAGTTAAGTGCTGTGGACTCCTCATAAATAGGTCCTAAGAGAGAAATGGACAATATGAACATGAGAGGAAGATCTGGGGGAGCCCACAATTTCTTAAATGATATTTATTTATTCAATACTAATTTTATTGAGTCACTTTATGTTCAACATGGTATTGGGTACCATAATAGAAACAAACAAACAAAAAAATCCCACTATCCTTGTCCTACTTACCATGAATGAAAAGGGAGGGGTGATTTATAAGCTATGTAGGAGCTGTGAGTATTGATTAGAGAAAGTATAGAGAGCCAGCACACAGCAGGGATACAAAGCTGTGCAGAAAGCTCGGGGAAGCTCACCAGAGTTAACTACCTTCATGCTGAGTTCATGGAAGCTGAACCTTATGGATTGAAAAACACAAAGAAGTTGAGTGTAGCTGAGGCTTAAAATTTAGGGAAAGGAGGGCAGAGCATTGAGAAACGATCCTAGAAGTAGAACACAAACAGGAGTAGGTCATGAAGTGCCCTTGACACATTAAAAATGGTAGGCTTTCACTGGGAGGCACTGGGAAGGCCCTGATGAAGTCTCAAGCAAGGGAAAGCATGGATGGCAGGACCAGATCTGATCTTCAAAGACTCACAAGTTTAAGGATAGGATCCCAGCAAGGTGGCAAGCTAAGTGGCTGCTGCAGTTAAACAGGTGGGATCTGAATATCAACTTGGACTAGAGAAGTTGAGGAGAGAAGTAATAAAACTCAACAGGGATTTTTTTTAGGAGATGAAATGGACTGGACATGGTAGGTGATTTCTGTGAGCAGATGAGAAGGATAACTCCCATTTCTGGTCAGGTAATTGGATCATTTGTCTGAACACCCAAAGATTCTTAACACCCAATAGGTCCATGGAATAAAGAACTTAAGTTTGGTTTTGACAAGTTGTGTTTGAGATGGCTGCTGAATACTCTAACAGAAATATTGAAAGCACTACTACTGCTCAACAGAAATACAATGCAAGCCATAAATGCAAGCCACAGATAGAACCTTAAATTTTATCATAGCCATATTGAAAAATCTAAAAGAAACAAGTAAAATTAATTTAATAATATATTTAACCCAATATATTCAAAATCTTATCATTTCAAGATAATCAATATAAAAAAAATTGAGCTATTTTACATTCCTTTTTTCATACAAAGTCTTAGAAACAAGATGCATAATTTACAGTTACAGCACAGTTCCATTTGGACAAGCCACATTTCACATGTTCAGTGGCCACCTGTGGTGAGTGACTACAATATTGGACAGGGCAGATCCTAAGGGCAGTTGGATAAATGGGTCCGGACTTCCAAAAAGCAGCATCAGTGAATGTCAACTGAGGCTATGGAACAGTCCAGATCATTCGGGAAGAGCATAACTTGAAAGCTTCTTGAAGAATCTTAAGGAACACTAGCATTGAAAGGTCAGGAAGCAAAGCTTACAAAGGAGGTCTAGAAGGAGCACACGATAACCTGATCCTTGTCCCAGGTAAGCATCTCTGTACAGAAGAAATTTAGGATCAATAAATCCAGGGACTGCGTGAGCCATTTTGCCACGATGAGGCCTCTGGAGCAAACGGTGCTGACATTTTTCTGAAATGAGGTCCTGACTTATACTGGTAGAGCTACCATTTCTTGGTCTTATCAGGAAGGATGGGGTTGAGAGAAAGAGCTTGGCAGAAATAGAAGTCAGGAAAGAAGTGCTGTCCTGAACACCAGTGGCCCCTTAAGAAAGCATGTTTTAGAACTTGCGAGTGAGAGAGAACTCACCCAGACTAAACATGTCATTATTTTTAACAAAACAGAACATAGACTCTGTTTTGTGGAGGGTAGGAAATTTCTCTTCACCAAAATATTAATTATTATTGGCAACTTTAAACATTTTTATGCCTGGTCAACACAACTGTGAGGATGAAGTCAGAGGAAGCTACGAAACCAGAAGTGCCACAAATGTGTGCACCGATCACTCTTGGAAAAAGTAGTGAGGGAAGGTTGTCAATGTCAAACACGGAACCTCTAGTGAACATGGACCAAGAGGAGTCTCCGAGGAAGAGATCACACCCCAAGTACTCAATTGTTAGTTAGGGGGCAGGGGTGCCCCGTTTAGGCAGCTGTGTAGACCTCACGCTACCTTCTAGGCACCTGGGCTGTGGAGGCAGGAGGGGGCTAAATGTTGAAAGGAAAGAGGGCAGGGTCCATGTGCCACATCAGATCCCCATCAGCAAGCAACCCACAAAGATGGGAACTGTGAGAGCTTTGCAAATCAACTCTTAGGGTACACACTCCAGGGAAAATAGCACAGCAAATTAATCCTTTCTCCATGAAATGCCACAAAGTTTGTATCTACATGGAATTCAAATTGCTCATTAGCTCTGACATGTTCCTAATGAGGTTATAATGCTCTGGGACAGAGATCAAGTCACTGAACACAAATAACTAGGGATAGAATCTGGAAAGATCAAGTTAGAAAGACCTGAGGGCAGTGCTTCTAAAACTCGAGTATAAATTCGCCAGGGGTCCTGACTCAGGACATCTAGGGTGAGTTTGAGATTCCCTGCATCTAGTCCCAGGTCACATCAATGCACTCTGACTAACAAGACCTTAGAGATCATCTAACCTAACCATCTTGCCCCAGAGATGAGGACACAGGGCTAAGAGACTCATAAATGGGAGTGTGCTGAGCCTCCCTTGGGCTTGAGCATCTGTCCACAGATCTGTGAATCAACCTGGAAATGTTTAAATAGAAGCCTAGGGAGTAGGGTGACCAACTATCTTGGTTTTCTCAAGATTGAAGGGGTTTCTGGGACATGAGATTTTTTTATTTTAAAACCAAGAAAATTCCAAACAAACCAAGGCAAGTGTTTCACCTTAGTAGGCGTCTTCTGAATCTACTCTGAATATAGTATCAGGATTATTCTCTTTTAGACCTTGTCAGTCCTTGAGTGCTGGGAGCATGGCTTGCTGCCAAAGCAAGCACCTAGGTGTCCTGCCCTGAAGGCCTCCAAGAACGGATGCTCAGAAGGATTACAACTGCAGAGGCTTCTAATGCCACACCGCTAAATGCCACCTTCAGAGACAGTCTCCCGGTAGGTTTTCAAGTAAGACATAGAAAAGGAATATCAAGAACCCAGAGAAATCAGTGTTATACAAGCACATAATGTTCTTTTTAACTACACAAATCTATTTTTTCATTAAAAAAATCATGCATATAAGAAATAAATGGCTCACTTTTGTAAACCTCAAAATGCTCATTAAAAACATCTTTGTTAAAATCACAAAAAATAATAAAAATCAGGATGCATCCCTAAGAATGAAAGGCATGCTCTGCATAATCAAAATGATTAGAAACGAAAACATATTGCTCCATACAGTTATTTTACTCACTGGAATTAGGTCCATTAACATTAGATAGAATAACAAACAGCTTGAAAAGCAAAAGTGGAACATTTTCAGACAATTCCATGCTAGCAGGGTATTACTAAGATGTCTAAAATAGAATGTCAAGATAAAGATGGCATATGCATTCAGAATGCAGACTTATTGCAAACCTGACCATACTGACTCCCTCTCTGTGGAGTTTACCTGTTTAGTAAGATGCCAGCATGATCTGGCTGAAGCACCTGACTTAATATTCATGAAGTTAGGACACTTAAAACAAAGGAGAGAAAGGAGTGTGACTAATTATATACAATGCATTTGAAATAGGTAAAAGAATCCCAGTCACTCAGCAATCATTACCTGGAAATTAAAGGGGACAGTAGCAATCCTATTATACATTATAAACAGCCCAGCTCCTGACTTAATGGTAGTTTGAGTAGCATAAACAAGGAGTACTTGCTCCCATATTAAATAGGATGTGCATTGTACAAATCCAATAGTTCACAAAATTAACAAGGAAAATGAACTGGTGTGAAGCAACTTCATAACTAATAGGGAGCATCAGCAAACACTTAAAAAGAGCTCAGGGAGAGCAGGTGCATATAAATGTGAATGGACATTATTGGAATTTATTAATACTCCTCTTAATTTAAATATATTTCAATTTCTTGTTGGTTGCAAGTATTTTTTGAGAGGAAATTATTAACTCAAAATGCCAATAAGTGATCAAGGGCTATAAGATGTGGTCCACCATTATTGAAAATTAGCTGTCATTTAAATTAGCCTAAAACTACCATAAACTTATGATATGACAGCTGTCAAAATTATCCCATATCACTTCTGTAGAACTAAATACACCAAACAGAATCTGGAAAACAATTTCTCTTCTACAAATATCAACAACCTGAATGATATATACATGTCCATTGACAAGCCAAAAGGTAGAGTTAATTTAACTTACAAACCAATAGACATCCGATGAAAGAGAACATTTTCCTCACAGACACTGCCATGGACAAGCTGGCTGAAGCTGGCTTTGACCACACAAGAAGCTGGAAGTGTTTCCATAGAAGCAAGAATGTGACTTCTATTTTTACCAGACAGAGACCCATCCAAGTCTTCCAAAATGGCTGCATGAGGAGATGGAAACGCTACCAAGTTTGGAGAGTTCATAAACTTCAACTGGTTGGTCTTCACAGTAAATCCACCTATAAGTTGGAAGAAAGACTGTGACTCAAAGGCACAAAAGAATGTGATCACAAATGGCAACTGAAGTCACTGAGTTATTTCCAGTATTTTTAAATTGCATATTTATACAGTTTAACAATTTGCTCACTTATTTGTCCAGGAAAAAATATATATCCTGAGTTGACTGTATGTCAGGCTCTGTGCTATGTGCTGGAGACAGAGTGAAGGAGAACAGTAGGGGCACTGTCCTCACGCAGCCTGCATTCTCAGGCAGTGATTCCCAACCAGGGATGGTCTGCCCTGCAGGAGACTTTTGGTACCACTCGCAAGCATTTATGGCTGTCACAACTGAGTGGCCAGCAGTGCTATGGGCATCTGGTGGGAAGAGGCAAGGGTGCTACCCAGCATTCTATAATGCACAGGAGAGCCCCCACAACAAATAATTACCCAGTCCCAAATGCCAAGGATGAGAAACGGTGGTCTACTGGGAGTGACACAGAACATTACTAATTACTAAACGCTAAAGGTGCTGTGGGCTAGTCTTTCCATCTCTCTGTTCTAGTTCTTCTAAGGCAAATCTAACCTCACTTCTTATGAGATCTATACTTTAAACTTTTGCCCTCAAAAGCCATATTCAATCAATCACATGTACAAATAGTAACACATTTTATAGGTATCAGCTCTAGGGCTACATGTCTTAGCAGGGTTTCCCTCGCATCTCCTTCATATGATTCACTGGTTCTGCTATTAGTCAGTGCTATTAGTCAGTTACCCAGGAAGAAACAATGGCAGTGGTCTTCTAATACTCACTCACCTGTCATTACAATTTAAAAGCTCAGGACACATCTCTTAGTAGATATGCTGCCATATTGCTATATTATGTATCTTATAAAAGACATAAAAAAGGAAAAATGCAAAATAAGATATAAACAAAGAGAGGCCCGAATGCTTTCCTTCTCATCCCAGTAGAGTCTGTGCACTCAATTGTCATTCATTCAAGATGCTACAAATCCACCTCAGAAACTTCTGTGTGGGTCTCTGCTAGTCACTCAGTGGTGTCCAACTCTTTTTGACCCCACGGACTGTAGCCCACCAGGCTCCTCTGTCCTCTGTCATCTCAAGGAAAGAATACTGGGTGGGGTAGCCATTCCCTTCTCCAGGGAAATCTTCCCAACCCCGGGGTCAAACCCAGGTCTCCTCCATTGTAGGCAGATTCTTTACCATCTGAGCCAACAAGGAAGCAACTTGTTGTTTATCTAACACCACAAGTAGTTCTATAATTCAGCTATATTGGATTTCTTTGCAACTTCCCAATCATAACTTGCTCTTTGAATTTGTTTTTTGCATATGCTATTACTGCTATGTAAAAACTTTTCTCTGCCTCTTTCTTCTTACAAACTTCTCTTCACCTTTATAAATCCTGCTCGAGGTACTCTATGATGAAGTCCCACCTGACCCCCTTCCTTGCTGTTCCCTTCATTGGCCTTGCTCAGTCCTCAAGTATTGGATTCATCATACTATTACAGTCATTGGCTCAGACATTTATTTTTGTGCCTAGATGGAAAGCTCCTGGAAGACAAGAACTATATGCTTTTCATCTCTCTACCACTCAATTCCTTAAACAGAATCTGGACTAAATAGTTTTTAAACAAATGAAAGAGATGGCTTGGCCAAGGACATCCAGGGAGAAGAGATTAGAGCTCATAAGGAGTACCTTGCTCCTTTTCAATGTCTTATGAATGATATCAGACAGTGAAGCTATTAACTGAGGAATTAAAATTTTAAGTGATTGTCTTAAGGCATTTTTTATTGCTATTATTATTTCTACAATCTTAAACTCAGATGCCACCCAAATAAAAACAATTTTTGGCTCTGTCTATAGAGGGGGGATAAGAAGCAAAGCAGAGACTTACTGATTATTCATTTAATTAAAAAAACAAACAATTATCTAAATTGGCAATTCAAACCACAAGAGCATATTTACTTGAACCACTTGGTTTGCCTGTTTACAATGATCAAATCAACTAGATTGCTCTCTAGTTCTTTCGTCTTAGCCCATGAGTTCTCCAAGGTATTTCTCACCACCTCTGAGATGTGGTTAACAAGTGAACAAGAATTCTCATGGTCTCTCTGTGCGTACAAAAAGCCTTGGGCTATTGAAAACATAAGGTTCCTGAACTCTAGTTCTTTCAGGAAAGCTTGCATGTGTATTAGTTCATATCCATATGTATATCCATCCAACTCCATCCATTGATTTAATCAGCGAACCTACTGGGCACCCAGCTACTGGTTACTAATGATAAAACTCTAAGCAAAAGAGATGTGATCAGATATAGAGAATAAACTAGTGGCTACCAATGGGGAGAGGGACATGAGTAGGGCACAATAAGGGAGCGGCTCAAGACGTACAAACTACTATGTATGAAGTAAATTAGCTACAAGGATATATTGTACAGAACAGGGAATATGGTCAATATTTTTAAGAACTTTAAATGGAGTGTAATCCATAAAAATATTGAATCACTATGTTGTACAGAAACTAATACAACTAATATAGTTGTAAATCAACTATACTTCAATATGAGAGAGAGCTGTGGCCCCTGCATTTGTGAAGCTCAGAATCCAGCAGAGACATGGAGCTATAATAATAGAGTATGACAGGCACCAGGTAGGTAAAGGCCGAGGAGCTGCAAGAACCATATTGGGAGCACCTGGCCTCCTCTAGAATTTCTTTTAGGAGATTTGAGGAGAAGTTTCTACTGATGAAATCTTCTGTTGTTGTTGTTCAGTCACTAAGTCATGTCCAACTCTGTGACCCCATGTACTGCAGCACAACAGGCTTCCCTGTCATTTACTATCTCCCAGAATTTGCTCAAATTCATGTCCATTGATTCAGTGATGCTATTTAACCATCTCATCCTCTGCAGCCCCCTTCTCCTCTTGCCTTCAGTCTTTCCCAGCATCAGGGTCTTTTTCAATGAATCAGCTCTTCACATCAGGTGGCCAAAATATTGGAGCTTCAGCATTAGTCCTTCCAGTGAATATTTAGGGTTGATTTCCTTTAGGATTGACTAGTTTGATCTCCCTGCTCTCCAAAGGACTCTCAAGAGTCTTCTCCAGCACCACAAATTGAAAGCATCAATTCTTCAGTGCTCAGCCTTCTTTATGATACAACTCTCATATCTGTACATGACTATTGGAAAAACCATAGTTTTGACTATACACACTTTTGTCAGCAAAGTGATGTTGATGTTTCTGCTTTTTAATACGCTGTCTAGGTTTGTCATAGCTTTCCTTCCAAGGAGCAAGCGTCTTTTAATTTCATGGCTATAGTTACCATCCACAGTGATTTTGGAGTCCAAGAAAATAAAATCTGTCACTGCTTCCACTTTTTTCCCCATCTTTTGCCATGAAGTAATGGGACCAGATGCCCATGATTCTGGTTTTTTGAATGTTGAGTTTTAAGCCAGTTTTTTTCACTCTCCTCTTTCACTCTCATCAAGAACTTTAGTTCCTCTTAAAGAAATCGCGTAAGTAAAAGAAATAATGAATCCCAATGTCTTTGTGACTATTTATCACATTTATGTGTGTACTGGACTTATTTACTAGTTTTATGATTTGTCTTATCTACTCAAACAACTTACCCTGTCCTTGGGAGCAGCCTGAACAGGTCCTGATGGCCACACAGTGAGTGAGATCAAAATTCACAAAGGTTGTGTTAGAAACTCTCAGTTCCCACCTTCTGGGAGATTTGATCCCAGCTGACATACACAGTTTTCCCTGTGATTTGGAAGGGGGATAAGGAAAGAAAAATAAGAGAACTGGCCAAATGAAATACAACTTTAATACATGAATAAAAGCAATCAAGTAAGTAAAAAGACAAGCTACAGACTAAGAGAAAATATTTGCAAAGCACATACATATGACAAAGGATCACAATGAAGTATCCTACACACCTATTAGAGGGTTAAATAAAAATTAGTGACAATACCAAATGCTGATGAAGAAAAAAAATAATTGAAATTTTCATACACTGCTGGTGGGAATGCAAAATGGTACAAACACTGTAGAAAATTGTTTGGTACTTTTTAACAAAATTAACATAATTTTTATTATTGACCTAGGGGCTTCCCAGGTGGTGCTAATGGTAAAGATCCTGCCTGCCAATGCAGGAGCCACAAGAGGCACAGGCTTTATCCCTAGGTCAGGAAGATCCCCTGGAGGAAGGCATGACAACCCACTCCAGTACTCTTGCCTGGAGAATATCATGGACTAAAGAGCCTGGCAGGATACAGTCCATGGGGTCTCAAAGAGTCAGACACGACTGAAGCACGCATGCACACATCACTGACCTAACAACTCAACTCCTAAGCATTTACCTTAGAGAAATGAAAACTTAGGTTCAAACAAAAGCCTTAAACAGATGGTTAAGATAATTTTATTTGTAGTCAATCACCAAATCTGCAAACAGTTCAAATGTCCTTCAACAAATGAACAAACTGTGGAATATGGTCTCCCACAGTAACAAGGAATAAAATACTGTTTCTTGCAACAAGTTAAATACCAAAGGTATCTGCGAGTGAAATAAGCTAGGCTCAAAAGGTTACATACTATGTTATCCCATTCATATGATTGTTGAAAAGAAAAACCTACTGTGACAGGGAACAGATTAGTGACCTCCAAGGGGATATAAAAAGAAGATGTAGCTACAGAGATGGAGCCAAAGGGAGGGTTTTTTCAGGCTGATGCAACTGTTCTATATCTTAGTGGTAGTTACATAAATCTATTCATATGTTAGAAATTTACAGTACTGTACATCAAAAAGCCCATTTTACTATATGTCAATATAAAAAAATAAATATTAAAATGTCTAAAAAAACAACAAAAACTGCTTCCAGGATTTTCTGTAAAACCTCTTCAACAAACTCCATCTAATCACGCTGTTAGTGCTTCATTGTTCCACTGCCCAAAATAGATGTATGTTTGAGGATCACCAGAAACTGTCAAGAGTCTCCACCTGGAAGACAGTGATAAGAAGAAACAAACAAAAGAAAAGAAACCCAGTGGAGACAATGCCAGTATAGAAATCAGAAGGAAAACTTAATAACATCAGAGAAATAAGAGTATCATGTTCATGAAAGAAGAAGCCTAAAAAGGAATTTTTCAGAAAAAAAAAATAATGGAAGAATAGAATTAGTAAATTAAATAGAAAAAAAATCTAAGAAAATAGGATAAAAAGGCAATGGGAAATCAGAGAGAAATTAAGGAGTTTAGAAAAGTAATTCAGGAAAGCTAATATCAAAATAATAAGAGTTTAAATAAAACAGAAAATATAGAGGAGATAATTATCAAAGAAATAAGTAAAGAAAATTTCCCAGAAGGAAAGGATATGACTTTCCAAACTGAAAAGTCCTGCCCACTGCCTAGCAGAGTGGTTAGAAGAAAAAGCCATAGCAAAATTATATCATATTAAAATTACAAACACCAGGGACAAGGACGAGATCCCAAAAATCTCCAAAGAGGAAAAACTAATAGGTTACATACAAAAGAATTAGAGTACCTATAAACTGGGTTTTTTGTCCTTTTTGTAAAGTCACTCAGCTATATACATTTGTGTTGTTTAGCCACTAAGTCATGTCTGACCATTTTGCGATCCCATGGACTGTAGCCCACCAGGCTCCACTGTCTATGGGATTTACCCAGCAAAAATATCAGAGTAGGTTTTCATTTCTTTCTCCAGGGGATCTTTCTGACCCAGGAATCAAAGTCTCCTGCATTGCAGGCAGATTCTTTACCATTGAGCCACTGGGGAAGTCCTCCAGTTACATACACATCCCTTTTAAAATTATTTCCATTATGGTTTATCACAGGATATTGAATACAGTTCCCTATGCTATACAGTAGGACCTTGTTGTTTGTCCATCCTAAATATGGTTTCCATGAAGTATCTAAAAACTCTTTAACTTCAGGACTAGAAGATAGAAGACAATGAAGCATTAACTCCAAAGCATCAAGGCAAAGTGAACTCCAACCTAGTGGTCTATAGTAACAACCTTCCAAGAATGGGGTCTCTATTTTTAGGTCAAAATCTTTACCTTTCATAGACCATCAGTTTAAAAAGTTACCATAGGCTAAAACAATGAGAGTTAAACCAGAAAAGAGGAAGATGGGTGAATTAGGAACAAGAACACTACAGGGACATGAAGAAATTCTACATTATGTTGGTCAAGAGAAATTCCAAGACCTAGCTCTGAAACACTTTTTGCAAACTGGTGGTAAAAGTTAAACACTTGGGATTGTGTGGGGTTTGGCATCACCCACTAAAGCTAAAGGGCCAGCCTCTGAGCCAGCAGTTTTAAAATCTGGCACATACTCAACAGATATGCATGCTTGTGAACACCAAGATACATATAGAAGATTGTTCATAACATCTTTCTCTGTAATAACCCTAAACTGGAAACAGGCAAATGTCCAGCAATAGCAACATGGCTTTAAAAACTGATACAGTCCATAAAAGGGAAGAATTGGTGCTTTCAAATTGTGGTGCTGGAGAAGACTCTTGAGAGTCTCTTGGACTTCAAGGAGATCAAACCAGTTAATCCTAAATGAAATCAATCCTGAATATGCATTGGAAGGACTGATGTTGAAGCTGAAGCTCCAATACTTTGGCCACCTGATGGGATGAGATGACTCACTGGAAAAGACCCTGATTCTGGGAAAGATTGAAGGCAGGAGGAGAAGGGGATGACAGATAACAAGATGGTTGGATGGCATCACTGACTCAATGGACATGAGTTTGAGCAAACTCTGGGAGATGGTAAAGGACAGGGAAGCCTGGTGTGCTGCAGTCCATGGGGTTGCAAACAGTTGGACATGACTTATTGACTGAACAACAACAATGACATAAAAACTGGAAGAATAAATTATTGAGACATATAAAAACATGAATGAATCTCACAGACATAATAATATGCCAAAGAAGTCAGGCACATTAGAGTTGCGTGATGTATGATTCTATTTACATAGAGTTCAAAAACAGATTTGGATTAACCTATACTTGAGAAGTCTGAATAATGGTTCTCCTTTGGCTGGAGGGCAGGGGTTGGGGTTACCTGGGAGCAGATACTAAGGGGTTTTAGAGGAACTGACGATGTTCTATTTCTAGATCTGGGTGGTATGCACATGATTTTACTTTACAAAAATTTAAAGAGCTCTTCACTTGTGATCTGTGCACTTTTCCCCATAAATGTCATATTTCCATGAAACATCTGTTTTAAAATGTATAACAAATACTAGAGAAAAGTAATGTACGAGACGAGAGGGTGAAGAAGTTAAAGAAGTTTAAGGTCCTTGCATGACTCAGGTGAAGTTTAACAGTGCCTATGTAATTAAAACTTTGTGAGGATGAGCAGGCATGCATGTCACAAATTTAAGTCCAAGAACCTATACGATTTTAACAGAGTGAATACCTTTCAAATGAGTGAATATTAAAAAAAGTTTTTATTCAGTGCAGGACAAATCAAGTTTGAAAAGTAGGGAAAAAACATAGATAATGAATTTCAAACTGAAAGTACAAGATAAAATGGTAGAAATAAATGCAAATATATGGAAGACATCAGCATGTGAATGGTAATTGAAACCACTAGAGAAAATGAGATTTCTCCCAGGGAGGGCAAGTATACATAGGAGACCTAGGATGGAATTTAGAGAAACAAAAAGATGAAAGTTCTAAACTGAGGAAGACAAATCCACAAGTGAAAATGAAAAGTAACCCTGAGAGAAATGGGAGAATGAGGCAACCTCAACAGCATTTTCCTGAATAAGATATTTTTTTAAAATAGTAGTATCATTTGCTTGAATGAATTACAATAACCACAAAAAGGCAACCATCCTACAGATAATTCCAAAAGTGGAGTGACCATAATTTACATCCAAATCAGGACATCTTGGAGAGTGTGGAAGGGGGTGCTAATTAAAAGCAAGGCTAGTACAGCAGAATAAACAAACCACAATGACCAGATTTGGATGTATAATGATGGTTTTCACATCTCTTTTTCTTGCATAATAAAGCCATTCTCAATGAAAATTATTCTACTCATCTCAATACCAGGTAATGTTGGGTATGAAAGTACCAACATAAACAAATATGTCTAATGGGAAAAAATCCTTTCTAATAAAAAATTCTTCCAGAAACTAGCGTTTGTTTCAGATCATGACTCACTGATCATGGTGTGTCACCAATTACATGCAGGTGAAAGGTCTAAGAATGATTAAGCCAAAGTCTCTGAAATTTTTAATTCCTAAAGAAATAGCAGATTTGAAAGAAAGAGGCTAAAGTCAGATTTCTACAACCAAAGAGAGGTTGGCATCCTTTAAAAAAAAAAACAACAACTAATACAGTTTTATACAGCAATAAAGTGGTTCCCAAATAAATCTGAGCAACAGTGTGCTAAATAAAGATTCATAGATTTTTTGTTCGTTTGTTTTTAGCCGTAGAACTTTGAAAAACCTTTAATGGGTTAATATGCAATGTGAATTTCAGAGGATGGGAGGGATGGTAAACAGCATGTGTATGTGTGTGTACCCTCAGTCACTCAGTCTTGTCTGACTCTTTGTGAACTTGCAGACTGTAGCCTGCCAGGCTCCTCTGTCCACGGAATTTTCCAGGCAAGAATACTGGAGAGGGTTGCCACTTCCTACTCCAGGGGATCTTCCCAATCCTCGGATCGAACCTGTGTCTCCTGTGTCTCCTATATTGACAGGCAGACTTTTTACCACTG